ACCTTTGTAATATCACTCGTCAAACTGGACACAGTTGCCGAACTTTTCCTGCAGTGTGCAAGTCCCCTTCCTTTCGGTTTTATAGATCTTATTTTGATTTTGATGTTTTAGTTGTATGTGTATGTTTATGTTTATTTTAGTTTTCTTGGGGGGTTTGTGTATCTAAATAGTCCATTGTGTAGTGTTATTGCAGTAGGGGGGGGTTCATGATAGCTTCTTGCAATAAGAAGTGATTTCTTCTCCCACAAGAAACCCCAGACTTGAAAATCAAGTGCAGAACTTGCAGAAGTGTTTGCTGAGAATATTAACCTCAGCAATCCCCAAGCAAGACAACAAAAAAACAACCGGTTTGAGAAGCAAAAAAAAACACTATCATGAACACTGCTAATGTTACGTAAGCATGTTTATTGCCACACTATGGACGCATACTCACAACCACTAGTGTCACTAACCAGTGTGTTGGGGTGGTGTAGGGGGCACATTTTGGGGTGTGTAGTGTTGGTACAGATCTGGCAGAATTCTATACTATCTTTTTGTTTAGCAGAAAGACACTATGCTACAAGCTACAGTTCCCCCTTGGGGCTCTTCTCTCAGCAACAGTGCAACGAGTCCTATACGTGTATTGTATAGGCATATACAGTGTATTGCACTTTGTCAGAAGTACATGTATTTTGAAATACATGTATTGCCTCTGCTAGTGAATACAATACAAATACATTGTATTCATTTTCTAGCCTATACAATACAAATACATTGTATTTACAAATACAGCTTTGGTTGTATTCCCTTTAAAACCCCTTTTTTTCTCTTTTTTTCTCTTTTTATTTCTCTTTTTTTCCCTTTTTTTTCTTTTTTTCTCTCTTTTTTTCTCTTTTTTTTTCTCTTTTTTTCTCTTTTTTTCCTTTTTTTTTTCTCTTTTTCTCTTTTTTTCTCTTTTTCTCTTTTTTTCTCTTTTTTCTCTTTTTTTCTCTTTTTTTCTCTTTTTTTCTCTTTTTTTCTCTTTTTTTCTCTTTTTTTCTCTTTTTTTCTCTTTTTTTCTCTTTTTTTTTCTCTTTTTTTCTCTTTTTTTCTCTCTGACAATCACCTGCGCTCTTTCAAAATCCCCATTGGCCTTGAATCCTTGTTTCAACCACTGGTGAGAGCTTACTGACTTTTCAATTGTTCTGGGTGCTAAACTCCCTCGATCCCGTCCACAAATGTCAGCAGCAGCCGAGAAGCATCATTCCACGCTAGCTGAGGCTGCTGAGCAAGCAAGATAATCCTTGGCCAAGGAGGCTAATGTGGGAAATTCATTGTGATGTTCCTGAAGGGAAATACAAAAGAGAAATGAGCCTTTAACTGACATGTAATATTCAGATATCCCAAATAGGATACTTACTTTCCACCACACTAGACACTGGTCTGCATCAGCCGGAAGAACCTTATACTTACCGCCCAGGTAGTTGGCCAACTTGTCAGCATTTGCAGATTCCACGGCCCCAGGGAATAAATTTAAATCATCGATTGGCCATCGATGGCTGGTTTTCTGGGGTTGGGATGGCTGCTGGGGAGTTGATTCTCTTGAGCTAACAGTAGCAGCAAGTTCTGCCTTGCGTTTGTCAAATTTCTGTTGAAGCAATATTTCGGCGTATTTGTGGTGAGAAGAGAAGTATGCTTGAAATATTGAAAGCCGATATGACTGTTTCAACATGGTTGTTAAGAGTATTGTGTTGCAGGCTAAAGCCTCCGCAAGGTAAGTTTCAGTCTTTTCAATCATCTTCTTCAGCATTGATCAGAATTCATTTTCAGTCACAGAGGCAAGGCGGTCCTTGAGGAAGTCTTTGATTGATTGATATTCCACTAGAAGCATACCACACGAGGAATGGTCGCCTTCCATTTTTTTAGCTATGAAATAAAACTCCTGAAACATACAATACAATGATTAGTTAACAAATGTCAAACATTCAGGAGACTAATGAAGAAAATGAAAATCTAAATCAAAAAACACTGACACTAAGTATATCATTTAGTCGCTTTACAATTTCCCAGTCACCTCGGGTGATCTCACAATCCTGGTAAAAGCTTTTACCACCATCTCTTTCTTGCCGGTCTTTCTCGTTTTCAATGAGTTTGTTGATCACATTTCGACTCTGGTACGCCCGGTCTCGACTTTGCCACTTGATGTTCCATTGGATGCCATAGCCGGCAATAAGAGTTGGGCCAGGATCATCAAGCTTGGTGCGCCATAATTCAAACTCTGAGCGTTTAGAAGAAGAGGAGGTAATTCGCTGAATAACAAAATCAACCTTTGAGTATTCCAGCCATTGTCTCAGAATTTCCAGGAGACCCCGCCAATTCGTCCGTTTCATCTTCACAGTCCTCATCAGATTGATCTAAAACCGGTGCATCAAGGTCCTCATCGCCTGAGAGAAAAGCCGCTCCTTGAGTGTTGTTGTTTTTCTCTTTAGGATTTTCCGGAATTGTATCAAGGAAGGGGACATGTCCAAGTGTCTTTTTCTTACACTTAGTCAGCCCAGCAGTGTTGGTATCAATCGCTTTGAGACCAGATGCCACAATGAGTGCAATCTTATGACATACACATCGGATGTGGTTGTCATAAGATTGCACTAATTATGGGAGGAGGGTGGATATTGGTCAAGTTTGTGGGTATGCGGGTTTAGGGTGGCAACTCCTGCGTGGAAGAAGAAACCTTCTTTCTTCTCCAACACTGACTGATAGGGAATCAGGGATTGGTTGACGACTCCCACAAGACAAAAGAAAATCCAAGAACAAGGTTGTGAAAATTGGGCTGTTGACTCCAATTTTGTCATCTGACTTTCCTGATGACTCCAAGTCAAAAAAAAAAAAAGAAAAAAAAAAGAGAAACCCTGGAAAAAAATATGAGAATTGGGACCAACGGCTCCCAATTATTAGGCAGACAACTCCCCCCCCCCCAAAAAAAAAAAAAAATTCAAAATGGGTGGACAACTCCCATAAAAAAATTGAAATTGGTCCAACAACTCCCCGGACCAACCCCTGTGTCCAGAGTTGGTCCAGGAGTGGTCCGCAGATGGTCCTCTTGATTTTGACCAACAAATGGGAGTCGTTGCCTAAAATTTAGGAGTCCTTTTTCCAATCCCCTATACTATTTCATCCCATAAATATGCCTTCTCATCCCAGATATTTGCATGTTTATCTCACTCATCATCCACTTCTTTTCATACATCAATTATTTCAAACTACATTTAGTTTATTCTACATTTCTTTCATATCTTACATTACATTTCATTCCAACCCATTACACATGGCTTATATCACCTACATTCTCGTGCTGTCTCACTTCTCATTTCAAGTCATTACACATTGATTATACCACCTACTTTTCCTTTCTGTCGAATATTTCATTTCAAATCATTAATCATTGCTTATATCACCTACATCTCCTTTCTGTCTTACACTTCATTTCAACTCATTACACATTGCTTATATCATGACACCTACATATATATTTCACCACACAGATTGCTTATTTCACTTCAGAATATTTATTTCAGTTTATTATTATCACAGCTTCTTTCACTGCATACAGTGCCACACATGGCTTCTCAACTACCTGGCACCTGCAAAATACAATTTTCACTTTGGGCTTCTTCTCCTCTAACACATATCACCCTACAACTACATACTATACATTTTTGGGATTTACGGAAGTAGTAGAACTGGAAAATCTATAGCACAGCTCTTTCTGCCTCTCCAGTAAAAAGTTTTATTTTTTGGGGCTGTAAAATTTGGAATGATGGCCTACACCAATAGTGTTATGTAGTTATATACATGTAGTATGGATATATAATATATGTATTATGAGCTTAAAGGGTATTGAGTATGAAATTCAGATGCATATTGTATATTTTGACCCCTTGAAACAATGGTGGACCGCTTTTTTCTGGGTAGTGTTAGAGCACCGCTACAGCCGCTACACTGTGTTATGCTGCGCTACAGCGCTTTTAGCGGCAAAAAACCCGCTAAAAAGCGCTGTAGCGCGGCTTAGTGGGCACTTTTTTGTGCCCTGAGCGCGTAGCGTTAGCGCAATTCCAACTTTCTGCGCTAACACTACACTAGCAGCTAACAAACTCTTGAGCCCTTTGCGCGTAGCGTTAGCGCAGAAATGTGGGTTTTTCGCTAACGCTACACTGCAAAGTAGCGTATTTTCGCTGCGCTACACCATGCTAACGCTATGGTTAGCGTAGCTGGCCCACCATTTATGGTATTCAAAGTTGAAATTTTATGATTGAAACTCCTGCCAAATAAAATATACATTATAATCTTATGCAATCTATGATTTCATGCATTTCAACTTTGAATACCATAACTGGAGGACTTCCCGTCGCTTCTGCGGGCCCCGCAGAAAAAAATTTGCACCTTAAAACTCTAAATATCTAAATACATCCTTCCGTCGGTTGCATTTTGTAAAATTAGACCCACAGGTGTCCAACCAGTTTCCCCCCCCTAACCTGACCAATCAATATCACCCAAAAGAAACACAGTCCATTTTGTTCAGCCTCATACCTCACTCGATGGCCGGTGAACACCAGTCATCAAGCATAGGTACTCCATCTGATGTCGGTAAAGACCGGTCATCAGCTGGAGTCAGTACCTACACTGAATGACTAGTCTATACCGGTCATTGGTCATTGGCGGAGTGCACACTTCTATTGATGGCCAGTAAGACTGGTGACAGGGATGACCTCCGTCCGACGACCGGTCAAGACCAGCCATCTGGTGGACTATACTCTACCCAATGACTGGTTTTGACGACCGGTCAAGACCAGCCATCTATACTCCACCTGATGTCTGGTTTTGACAACTGGTCAAGACCAGTATAGTCCACCAGATTGATGACTGTTTTTTGCCGGTACATACACACACCATCCAACGGCCTCTGAGGACCGGTCATTGGACGGAGCAATGATACCTTTGAATAGGTACTTTTTGTTATAATGGGGAAGGCTGGAGGGGGGCAGAGGGGTTGGGTCTTTTTTTGTTTACATAGTGTTTTGTACAAAAGAGATCATACACATGTGGGAAAATTTTAAAAGGATTGGTCAAAAAACCTATGACGCGGTCACTGCCGACCCAGAACTCGACCTCGTTAGGGATGATTCTGAAGCTGCCCCAATAATTGGGCACGGGATGTGGGTATTGAGGTCTTGTTGAGAGGGCGGGTGATGGTTGATGGAGCCGGGCTGGACATCAAATCGGGAATCATGTTTGGCGACAAGATCGAGTAACTGGGAGCGGGTCTTGAGCAGGGATGATTGGGGGGACGCCCAGACGCCGATGTGGGAGCCCAAGGGCCAAGCATCGAAGTATCTCTGGGACTCCTAAGCAGGGATCTTCTCGGCCTTCAGACCCGGATCTGTTGATGCAAGGCGCCTAGAAGGCCGCCAAGACGTGCGGTTTTTGGCAAATTTCCTGGGCCTTTTGGGAGTTGTAGTTGGTGAAGAAGACAAGGCCGGTGGTCGGCTTGATCTTTTTGAGTAGCACAAAACGACTCGACACTTCTCCCGCCAGAATCGCCGTCAAAAGACACATCACTTCCGGCTCCGCCACAAGCCTGGACCGTTGGGCGTCCTCGAACGATCGCTTGAATAGCTCCAGCGGCTCCGCTCCTTCTAGATCTTGCTCCTCTAGCCCCACTGAATGGTATTGTTGGTGTTGAGTGATCTCGGTCACTGTCGAGCTCATCATGATTCTTCTTCCTCCTCCTCCTGGTCTTGCGTGCTGATTGGTCTTTGGTTGGTGGTGGTGGTGGTGAACTGGACTGCAGATGTACAGTGGGTAGACAGTGAAAATTGGCTGCTTATTTTGGATTCCAGAGCTACAAAACACAAACTTGAAGTCATGAGACTGGGTCAGGTGGTGCATAATAGGTCCCAAAAAATGAATATGAAATAATAAAAGCAAAAAATAAAGTTTGAAAATTTGTGAAAAATAAAAAATAAACTCAATTTTTTTCAAAAGCTTTGATATTCATTTTGGGGAGTGAGAGTGCTGAGAGAAAGAAAGAATGGAACATGGGAGGAATGATTATAAATGAAAAAAATTGGAACCAAAAAAGGTTTAGCCAGGTTGGTGGTCCAGATTGGAGCCAAAACAGTAAATCTAGTGCTTTGCTGCAATGTGGGCTGGTGAATGCCCCACTCAACAGCTGTTTGAAGCCATCTGAAAACCAGTTTTTCCAAAATTTTCATTTATAATCATTCTTCTCATTTCCCAATCTTTCTTTCTCCCAGCACTCCCACTCCCCCAAAATGAATATCAAAGCTTTTGAAAAAAATTGATTTTATTTTTTATTTTTCACAAATTTTCAAACTTTATTTTTTGCTTTTATTATTTCATATTCATTTTTTGGGACCTATTATGCACCACCTGACCAAGTCTCATGATTTCAAATTTGTGTTTTGGAGCTCTGGAATCCAAAATAAGCAGCCACTTTTCACTGTCTAGGCACTGTACATGTACAATGCTTTGGTTAGTTTTTTTGGTCTTTCTTGATCAATCAATCAATCAATTGTTCACTTCACCTGATGGATATGAGTATGAGTCTGTTTGTGGATGGTCGTAATCTGTCAATAAGAGGAGTAGCTGGGAACTATGACACGGTCGTTGTAACCTGTGGGCTTCTGTATTGGTTGGTATTGATCTGGTCTTGATGTGATGGGTCGGTGTGTGTGTTGAGATGGTATGGGTGTGATGATTGGTTGGTGTGGTGGTTGCTGATCCTCTATGGATGATCAGATGAGGGATGAGGGGAGCTATTTAGAAAGACGATGGTACCCCTCGGGTAAATTAAGAGGGGTGATTCTTAGAGTTTTTGGCTCTAAATTGATATCTGCGGGGCCCGCAGAAGCGACGGGAAGTCCTCCACTGCTTGAAAACACATGATTGTGTATGTTGAACTGCAGGATATTTCAAATTTTCTTCAGCATGCAACCAGGAGGCATGTGTTTGTTCCTTTTTTCCCCTGAATCTTCAGAAAATCAGTTGAGATGGTCAATTCCACCTAGAAATAAAGTAGAAAATAGAAAAAAAACCCATGGAAAACCCACAAGAAAGTGAGAAAAAACAACTCTCTTTGGCAAAAAAAAAATCACAAATTTCTCCCAAAAATTTGGAACACCCCAAGGGGGGGGGTATGTAGTTGAGAAGACGTGCGGGGCACTGTAGCCTGAACTTGGCAAGCCTGTTTATGTACCCGGCTCTTGTATAGCCTCGGAGCCGTCGCATGGCGCCGTTTGCCTCAGGAGGGGCTTCATGGTATCCTCCTGCGGCTTCGGATCCAGGCTCCGGTGCTCCCGTGTGGCGTTCTTTTTTTCGGTTACAACCACTCCCGATTCGGATACGTGAGTCAAGACCTTGATTCGCGTTGAAAGCATCACGATTGATTGTTGCGACTACCATCTGGTTGGCCATGACATGCTTTTATGCCAGGCGGAGGCCGGGTCAACGGCCGGCTAGGGCGCAATACTGCATATGCCGTCAAGCGATGTGGACCGAGGTGACTACCGCCGATGTCTTTTACAACCTGCACGCTGCCGGAGCCCCTTTCCCAGGGCCTCGCCGGAAACATCCATTAAGCTTCAGCTCGCCATTGCCGGCCAGCAATTTAAGGGTGCGTGAGAGGGCATACAACTGTGGGCTTTCAGCCACAAGCGCTCTGTACATGTCTGCGTCGCTGGCGCTGTTGCCACTGGCGAATCTGGCTCTTATTTCTCCCATGAAACACGAATAGTTCTCCACGGCACTCGTTAATCTTCAGTGGGTTCCAAGACCCCTTTGATCTCTCCTAATCCTCAGCGTTCAGGAGATAACCCGACTCCCAATTCCTTTTGAGCAGTCCAATTCCACATTCCTTTCACTGTCAACACCAACAAGCGCTAATTCTAGATATAAGTTTACAAATGATGCCCACCATCATTCAAGCGAGCTTTCTGCTCATCCTCTTCATAGTTGGTTTTTCTCATCAAGCTCATGGTTCTGTCAAAGTGTCAGCCCAGCCCCCGAAGAAGACAGATCCAGTGACTTCAGGCCCGATTTCTCTTACTGACAACCACGTTTCGACTTATTTTGGCTGGTCTACTTGGAGCTTGCAAGCTTACAAAGGCAAGGTGTGTGTTTTCTCTATCCTAGACTTGACGACTCCATTTTATATGATTATTTGAGTCGCACTTTTGGAGCTCATTATTTGTTGGTTCTGTTTGTTGCTGTGCCGAAACAGGGTTATGGATACGACTGGTTAACGGAAACTAATATCAAAGCGCACGCTGATATATTGTCTAAGGAGTTTTCTCACCTGGGGTGCTTTGCATTATTTTTTGCTAACTGAGACGCATATGAAGAACTAACACATCACCTTTCTTTGGTAATTCCTTTAGCTACACTCGGATTAACTTGGACTCCGGCTGGCAAGTTGAGTTCAAAAATTTTAAGCCTTATGCCCAGTCAAATATTTTTCCTCTTCTACATTTCAGCCTTGCAAAGAGTTTATCAAAACGCGCATCCAGCCGTTGCCCCATGTTCTATTGATGTGTTTCGATCCCTAAAAAACCCCTCTGCACCTTTGACTGTGATTATCACATTATGATACCAAATGGTTTATGTTGAAGCTGAAACAATTATTTTCCTTTAGGATGCTCAACTCGACAAATACGGCAGAACAGTACTGAACCATACGACTTTTCCTGGCGGAATCGATCATTTATCGGCATATCTAGCTCAGAAGAAGCTCAAACTGGGTCTTTACTACCTGCCAGGCATTGATTCTAGAGCGGTCAATAGCAAGGTGAGAAAATGCCTTCTCTCCCAAACCACGCGCACAAATTCTTTGCGAAACCAGAGAATCAGCTGCTGAGCAGTGTTTTCATCTTCTCTTCACCTATTAGTCCGTGGTTATGAACACGAAGTACACCGCTGATCAGATCATACAATGTCCTAATAAAGACGCTTTAGGATGTAATCGGAACACCGTGAACGCATTCAACGCTGGTATGGCATTAAACTACAGTCACCCAGGTGCCCAGATGTACATCAATAGTATCGTCGAGGGCCTCTACAGCTGGGGCGTTAGCTTTGTGAAACTGGACGGGATCGTGCCTGGTTCCTCAGTTGACCCACCTGAATACTGGAAATACAATGTCACAGCCGATCTGATGGCCTGGAGAAGGGCGATCGATGAGTTGTACGAGCAAAAGTGGCAGAAACAAGGCCGGGAACGAATTTGGCTAGGCGCGAGTTGGAAAATCCCGACAAATGCTGGTTCGACTATGGAAAAATACATGAACAGCTTTCGAGTTGAACAGGATATTGAGGCCTACAGCGAAACCCAAATGACGACGTTTGACCGGGTCATCCGTAATGCTAAGACAGCTGCACTCTGGTCCTCTGTCGATGCGAATCGCAAATGGAAAGGAGCGAGGGATCTCGACTCCATTCTGATAAGCGACATGTCGTTAGCCGAATGCAAGACGATGGTTACTATCTGGGCAATGTTTGTACGTCCAGATTTATACCCATTACAAATTGTCGAGTTAGGCTTTGATTGGACCATTTCTGGTTGTTATTTTTTTCTCTTTTGCTCACTTAGGGCTCGATAATCTATCTGGGAGACGATCTAACAAAGTTACCAGAAGCTAGAAAGGCCTTAGTAAAGAATCCCGAAGTGCTAAAACTCGCCATTTTAGCGTCCACGAACCAAGCCAGATTGGACGGATTCGATCCCAGCGTGCAGCCCGCGCAAACAGCCAACTTGCAATCGTTGAACCAGCTTGAGGCCAAAGATACCACAGCAGTTCACCAAAAGTCTGCTCAGGAATGTGGAGAACTGGCCGAAAAACGCCGAATCGTAGTTGAGTATGGCACGCATCAAAAAGTCGATAACTCCGATGATTTCCAAAAATCTTGCTTGAAATCTCGAGCAAGTGAGAAGTTGATGAGCCTTCAAGCACTCTCGGCCGGTGAGGGTGTCAAACCGGATCAATGGAGCCTCCAATCTTGGGTCTTAGAGCAGGGTCAGGGCGATATCTATGTGGCAGTTATCAATGCTGGTCAACAGAACTCAAGTGATAGTGAGTCAGAAAAACTAGATCCTGTTCATGCAAATGAAGTTTGGTTGCTGACCCATTCTCAAATGTTCCTGAATCAGAACCAGTCAAAGTGGATATCAGCTTGAACAAACTCCAAACCCTTCAAAAGAGCCCAAGAATCAAGCAAATGACCGGAATGCGATACTCGGTGAGAGACTTGTGGAACCAGAAAGATTTGAGCAGCATTTCTTTCCAAGACAAAATCGATTCTACTCTGGAGACTCATGGCTCAATCTTATTGAAGTTTAGTCCAATCCAAACCCCCACTACAAGCCAATGAGAATTTTGAGCCGCACATTTCATTCTTTAAATAATATAATGGCCACTGGACCTTTGGTTCTCTATTCCTGTCTTTTTCTTGGCACGGGGAAGCAGCAATTTGAGGAGTTTGTTTTGATCTCTTGGACTGTGTTTCTTGTTTGTAATTTCTTACCAGTCAATCATGCTTCATTTCTTGTCAGGATGTCAAGAAAGTTCCATGTAACATGTTTTCATAAAATTTAAAGAGAAGCATACAATTTCCCCCAACAAAACTTTACTATCTACATTTTGGATTAGAAGTGGTTTCCACTCATCTTAATCCATGACTCAAATAAGCCTCCCAGGACTGGTGGGGTGCAGAGCACCCCAATGCAAATCATCTCCTTTGGAGGGCGCGAGGGCACTTTGCGCTAGCCTTGTACCAGGGCCCTCTGAAGCGAGATTTGTGTGAAGTTAGATTATTCCTGATTAGGAACAAGCAGTGACGCTTTGAAGCTCCACACCGGGGAAGGAATTTTGCAAAAGTGGTGGAGCTTTTCTGGAATCACAATATATCAAGTCTTATGCCCCAGAGTGGCTATGAATATAGAATTACAGTCAAGATGTTATGCTGCTGAATTGGATAAAGGGTAAACTACAAGAAGGAAAAGAACAATTCTCTTTGGAAGCCTGCTGACTTCAATAGACCAATTACAACTGTATCAAAACCTGATCAAGCCAAAATCAATACAGAGAAACAAAAACAACAAATGGCTCAAATTTTCTGTTGTTGAAGGCTTGGATGCCCAAACCTCACCATTGTTGATCAATTTTAAGCTTCTAGTTGATTGTTCTTCAAAGAATGACTTCTGGTTCTTTTTTTAAGAAGTGGATTCACAGGTGTGCAATTCAAGAATGAAAATGCTTGTACATACCTCAAATCCAAAGGGAAGTCCTCCATTCTTCCACCTCATGAGTTTTGAATTAACCTAGGTCAATACAGCGGTGGGCCGCTACGCTACACTACGCTACGGGCCCATGTAGCGTTAGCGTAGCGGCGCCAATTTTTGTTTTTTTTCGTGTAGTGTTAGCGCGCCGCTACGGCCGCTGCGCTACGCTAATTTGTAGCGGCGCTAACACTAGCCTTTTTTTGGTGTAGTGTTAGCGCGCCGCTGGCGCCGCTACACTGCGTTACGCTACGCTACAGCGTTTTTAGCGGCAAAAAACGGCTAAAAACCGCTAAAAACGGCCGTAACGCAGCGTAGCGGGCAGTTTTTGGCGGCCTGTGCGTGTAGCGTTAGCGCAGATGGGGGGAATCGCGCTAACGCTATGCTAAACGTTAGCGCACGTTTTCGCCCCATGCGCGTAGCGTTAGCGCAAAAAAAGAAACAAGCGCTAACGCTACGCTAAATTGTAGCGAAAAATCGCTACACTACGCTACGCTAACGCTACGGTTAGCGTAGCTGGCCCACCGTTGGTCAATATTAAACATCTTTCAATTCTCCTGGTTCATTCCACAGCCAGTTGCAAAGATCCTCTTTGAAAGTTGAACAGGTAGTGGACGATTTCCCCACATTATCAGTGGGTCTCCCAGAAGCAAATTATAGAGCCTCAGAGCATCCGCATCAGTGGTCAAGTTACACTGGATTAGCGAGCTCGGATTAGGACAAGATTAAGGTGATCTCGGCCTCCAGCCACATTGGTGGTGGCCGAAGTGGCTTAAATCTATGTGTTATGTCTTTGAGGTCAGTTGATCCAACTTGATCGGAGCTAGTTTGTATGTGTTCATCACTGGGAAAAAATCTCAGGGAACTGCTGCCAGTTGACATGCAGAAACTCTCTTCAAAGTTGGGTTGTCAATCAAATGTTACTCAACCATTACCTCATCCATACTTCAATGCACAGTCACTGTGCACCTTGCACAGTTGCTGTGCAGATACTCTTACATATGAATAGATTACAGTATGACAGAAGTTACATTGGGAGTAACCTGCATGTCAACTGCTACCAGTTTGGTGAGATTTATTCATAGTGCATTCCTTTTGAATATGCATGCAGGACTTATTCCCAGGATTAGTGGGGTGAAGATTTACAAATGGAGATCTGGATCAAGTTGATCCTGTCTTAATCAGATCCAATGCGGTTGCGCAGTTGGATTAAGTGCCTTAATCCGAGCTAAGTTGATGACTGATGCGGATGCTCTCAGAAGCTAGTTTTCCCAGTGAAATTCTAGACTTTTTGGGTCTATAAGAGCAACTCCACTGGGGCCGCTAATTTTGGGCCACTAAAAATTGGTCTTCAGCACTCCGCAGCAGGTTTTACAGACTCAAACTGCTGCGGCATGCACTGCAAGCCGGCAAACGAGTCTGTAAAAATCTATGAAAGGCAGTTACCCATCAATAGCCCCTGGATCCCCCCTGATCCCCCGACAACATCAAGCCTATCTCTTTGGCTGGCTACACCATCGAGATATTTTTCAGTAATCATGGATTGTCTGGCAATCATTTGGAATTTCGTCAACACACAAAATTCAATAATTTCCAACTCAATTCAGTCAGCGCAGCAAATATTGGTCGTTCTTCAAGGTGGAGCTGCAGCTGCTCAAGAAATCCTCCGACAAGAAAGGAAAAGACGAGACGCAAAACCACCAAAATGGGGTGGATCAAGAAAAGGAAGAGCACCAAATCTCCGCCAAGACTTTGAGGGAGGCTACCAGCAATTATACAAGGATTACTTTGATGAATCGGCTATCTACACTGACTATCAATTTCGCCGGCGGTTCAGGATGCAAAAAAGCCTTTTCTTGAAGATAGTTGATGATGTCGAGTAGCACGATACCTACTTTACTCACAGGGCCGATGTGTTGGGTAATCTAGGTTTAAGAGAAATTCAAAAGATCACGGCATCCCTCCGAATCTTGGCGTATGGCGGGTCTCATGATGCAACCAACGAGTACATCCGCATTGGAGAATCCACAGCTTCTGAAAGCCTCTATTGATTTTGCCGGTCTGTCATTGATTTGTACGGCGCAGAGTATCTTCAATCACCAAACACAAACGATATCAAAAGACTGTTGGCTATTGGGAAGGCATGCACTGGGAATGGAAAAACTGTCCCACTGCATGGCATGGACAGTATCAAGGAAAAGAAAAGGTCGGTTTATCTCTCTTCCTTGCCGCATTGTAGCCCATTTACTAATATATTATGCTGAAGGTCCCAACGATTGTCTTAGAGGCTGTTGCATCTTATGATTTATGGATTTGGCATGCCAGGGTCCCACAACAACATCAACATCTTGGATTCATCACCAGTTTTCACCAATTTAATGAATGGGGTCACCCCTCCATGCAAATACAAAGTCAATGGGACAACTTATCACCAGGGATACTACCTTGCCGATGGAATCTACCCGGACTATTCAACGCTCATCAAGACCATTTCACATCCCCAAGGGCTAGAAAGAAAGGTATGTAGACTGTTCTACAAATCATAACCAGAGAAGCATTGAACTGACTGATTGCTCCAGCACTTTGCCAAAATGCAGGAAGCCGTGCAAAAGGATGTAGAGAGAGTGTTTGGAGTACTTCAGGCGTGATTTGCTATTGTTGCTCGACCGGCACTGACGTGGAGTGTTGGCAAGCTTCATTTAGGCATGAAGACCTGCATTATCCTCCACAATATGATTGTAGAGGATGAGAGAAATTTGAACATTGATCACATTTACAACTCAAACACATCTACTGGTCTTGACTCATCCTTTGATCCGATCAATCCCATTTCACAATGCTGCCCTGATTTCTCTACTTTCATTCAAAATACACACAGAATTAGAAATCCTGACTTGCATTTTTCTCTCCGAAACGATCTGACACTACAAGCAATACCCATTTTGCCCCAAAAATAAATGGCAATTTGAGTGGGGGAAAATGGATCAATTTTATGGAATTTTTTTTCCAAAATGCCTCAGGAGTAGAAATTAGGCTAAACTGAGCTATTTCAGCCCAGAGATAGAAGTTCATCAAACATTCCAAAATGAATTTTTAGCTCATTTGAGACATTTTTATTTTTTGGCTAAAATAGCTCATTTTAGCCTAATTTTTTACTCCTGAGGCATCTTGTAAAAAAAGTGCCAGAAAATTGATCTATTTTCCACCATCCAAGTTGCCATTTTTCCTTGGGGCAAAATCAGTATTGTTTGTAGTGTGATTGCCCACTTGTGGGCACGCAAAGGAAAAGAGATAGATTTGGAAGACACAGAAGAGTAATTATAATTGTTTATCGTTCTTGTTTTGAATTTGTCCAATCAATGAAAAAAAGAAAAACTTATTTGTGATTCATTTGTGATAACTTGTCCAATCGATTGATCCAATCGATTGATCATAGAAAAATACAACTTATTTGTGAGGAAAGTCTCGTTTGATGAGTCCAACTCAGATTCAAAAACTGAGTCCGACTCACAGACACACAGTTGATTTGAATCTTGTTGTAACCAAGAGACAACTGAGTCCGACTCTCACCCAGAATGCTAGAAATAAAGCTGTGTGGAAATAACCAAGTCGCTTGGACTTGGACATGTTTTTGAATGGATCTCTGGTTAAGTGCGTGTTTTTCATTATTTTGTGTGAGAGAACAGATACCGACCGGTATGAAACAATCATGTCAAGCCTTTGAGAGTTGTGTATAGTATGTTTGTTGAAAGAAAAACGGTTTCAGAGACAAATGAGTCGGACACATGTATTAAAAATTTGATGAAATAAAAACAATAGACAATTCATTCTGCAAGGTCAATTGTTGCAGGGACAGATGCTGAAGATAAAGCCGGAGCTGGAGCCTGAGCCGGAGTTGGAGTTGGAGTCGGAGTCGGACCCGCCAATTCTTGCTCAAGCCAAGCTAATATTCGTTTTCGTTGGAGGGTATAGTACTTCTTGACGTCATCGTCAGCGCCGGTGAGGTCCTTATTCATGATTGCCTCATCTGAAAGTTGTTAATGGATGTGAAGAAATTATGACCGTAGACGTGGAGAATTTTTGGGCAACAAAAATTGATTTTTGATGGAATGGCTCAAGGGTCGAAAAAAGAGGGAGAAAGCCAATTGTTTTTGATTGCTAGTAGAGCCTATGCGTTAAATAGACTATGTACAACAAGTTAAACATGTGGTTGAGAAAATTTGAATATAGAAATGAGTAACAGTTTAACATATGCATGTAAAATTTGACAGGAGCAGATACTCATCAATAAAGACTAGACCCAGGTTCGAAGACTACGGGGATTTCAGCACTAGATAACAAGAAAAGATGCCACTCAGACAACTACACAACATAGCTAAAACATATTTTTTTTATTTTGTATAATCAATGGTTTATGAAATTTGGGGAAGATGGATTTTTAGGGAAGAGAAGGAAGAGACAAAATTCCAACAGGATGAGTGAAAGAGTCAAAGAGGGAAAGACTTGATGAGTTTGTATTTCTGGATCAACAAACTCAAGCTTTAAATAGTAAAAGAAAAGATGCTACAAATGAGATAACACAGTATAAAGCTATTCTCAACTGGATTGATGAGAGCACAGATAGATATAAGCATGACTTGGAAAATATGCTAATAAAGAGTTTTGAGAAAAAAAGAGAGCTACAATACATGAATACTAACACAAGTCGTTCAAGAGCAGAGTGCAGAGCAGACATTGCACTGGCTAGTGAGGTATGTTGATTTTTGGCAACCTCGGCTATGTCAACATGATCAACAGCCATCTTCTTGAGGTGTTTGTGATTGTATTTGTCAAGTCGTTCCACCTGATAGGCCACCTTTGCCTTTTTTTCGGCCGTTTGGACGAGCCAATTCCCCACCACACGCAGTCTTGTCACCAGATGCATCCAAAGTTGAGTTAACGGTCTCAGCAGGCGTAGAGCTAGGCAAAGACTCTGGCAAGGGGCTTGTCAGCGCCGGTCTCTTGTGTGACCTGGCGTTGATGGGGTTTACGAGTCACACTATAACTGCGAGGGTTACTAGCAGCCAATGGATGAGAAACCTCGCCTCGACGCTTGAAAGCGGAGGGGTTAAGCTCCCTGAGAATGTAGGGGACGCTTGCGGTAAGGTCTTCGCAGCGCCGGGATTAGAGTGTAAAATAACTCTCTTCTAGGCTACAGTAGGGACTTTACTGTAGTCTAGGATTGGGATAGGATGGATGGGAGTAAAGGGATAAGGGATAACAGTAGTATAGATTATAATAAAAACCCCACTCACTAGTTGTAGTAAGGTAAACGGGTTGTATGGTAATAATCTCTGGGGGGAGGATTCTTGGGAAGAAGACCTCCCCCTTAAGTATTACAAAGGCAGGGGTCAACCTGCCTGTGAGACCGGTGAGGCCTGCAGAGGATCATTTATGTATATAATCATAAATGATCAAAATATGTATTTAATTAAGCTTTAAACCAGAAGTGGAGGAAATGATGTCATTCAAGCTCAAAGGAGAAAGAATGATGTCATCTCTCTAATTACAGAGTATAGAGAGATGATTAAGATTTCAAACTATATATATATAAAGTATGAATATTAATACAGAGGTGAATACTTAAGTAATTCCGTGGAATTACTTAAAGTATAAAAGTATAAAAATAAAACAATAAAAATATAAGATTACATAATTGGGATTTGAACCCAAGTGTGTTGGTGAGGCAAAGTCACAGTCCTTGACCAATACACTACAGTACATGTGTTTGTTGGTTAAGTACAGGTTGTAGACACATGGGCTACAGCCTCAGTGTCTGACATTCGCCCCCACCAAAAAAATTACTCTATGAGGAATTTTTTGACCTCTTGGAAGCTCTGAATTGTCTTAACAGAACCTGACAATTCTTAATCTTATCAACCTCCAACCACATATCTTGGTCAGGTTGACAATTCTTAAACCTAACTAAATAAAGTTTACAGTCTTTGTTTTGTTTTCTGACGATCTTCTCACCTAAAATCTTGTAAGGGACTTTGTCTGATACTTCAGTTTCTATAGGAGGAAGGATTGCATCTTGCTCAACTCGCAAGGGATTAGTTGTAGGATCAACATACTTTTTACACAAACTTATAGGAAAAGTGGGATGTCTTTGGCTAAATTGTTCTGTAAGGATGACTTCCACGGCATTCCTTTCATGAAATGCTTTGATAACAAAGGGTCCAATAAAGGCATCTTTCAATTTTCTAGGGCCAGCTAAGTTATTAAAATTTACTGTGGAAATTAAAACTTGTTCACCTACTTGTAAGTCATGGTCCTTATGAGACTTATCCCATCTTTCCTTATTATATTCAACTGCCTCCTTCACACATGACTTGCTTTTTCTTCAGCTTTAACATCATTTGTTGTAT